ATTTAATAAAAGTCTTCGGCAGTGTACGGCCGTAAATCCTGGAACCGATATCGACGACCGTCATTCCTTACACGTGGCAGATTCCTATGTTCTTGCCCTGTCGCAACAGCACGAGAGCAGTTTCAACGTTCGACGCGGTTGGGTACGCTTAGTCGATATTCTGCGCTCGTCATCCAGAGTCAGCTCCGAAGATATCTACACTTCCGTTTTTTTTCGATCCGTCGCTTTCAAACCCCAGTCCTGGTGTGAACCGGGGGCTCGGGCTTCCGATAATGCTACAAACGTCGAACAGCGTAGGCCGCCATCATCGGCGCCATGAATGATATTTGGATGGCCATCACTGTGCCAGGTAAACCTTTAAGGCTTTTACCATACAGTCGGTAGAAAACTTCGGGGCATCAGACAAGCTTCGACGACGTTCGATAGGATCGTGCACACTGCAGCCGTGCTTCGGTACCGGCCCAAACAACTGATAGGTACAATGGCTGCATTATTGACCTTATTACCTACCTACATCATGATTCATAGAGTTACTGCCTAGGTACCTACCTACGATTTATAGGTATTAGGTACCTGTTGTCTGTTTTCCGGATTTCGAGTGGTATAACTAGGTTTGCGTCGAAACGCAGTCCCATACCGTGGATTTAGGGAAGCTGGAAACCCTGGAGTCTAGGATCAACCCAGTTTGCCCATCCTCCCCGAGCTCAGTGCTGCCACCGTATAAGAATAGCCAGATCTGATCTAAAGGCGATATACCAACCAGGCCGGTAGGCTCTACCGGACGGTACCTCAGTTCCAGTTGCAGTCATGTGACTCTGAAAGCGTGTATCCAGTAGGATTTTGGGTTTAGCATCTCTGCTATGTATTACCTTCTAACCATTTCGACGCCTAAACTGTCATGTTTTCTCAGAAGGCTGCGCGGAAAACCCGGTGTTGCGGAAATGCATGTGCACACTTCAGTCTTGCAGTCACCACTGACAAGTCACGTGTGCACCTCTCTGTGCAGCAGAACATGCTCTTGATATTCTGACTTCTCAATCTGCCGAAATCCCCTAACTGGGGGATGACCGGGCACACTGCACAGACAAAAGCCAAACAAGCTTGGATGTGCAAAGCGCAAACCCACCACGTGTCACCGGTATGGGCAACTTGTTCAACAATGATTAGAGGCTGCTGACGCCGGTGAGTCCTTCGTTGTCGAGTGAGCCTGGCGTACGGAGCCCTTCGGAGTCGTTCGACGCGCTGTCTTGACTCTTGAGTCGTCTCATATCGCCACTGGCCAGTCAGGAACGGACCGACCGGTGCACGAGTTGCGCGCATCTTTGGTTATAATTAACCTCGGTGCGTTTGCCCGGGCTTGCTGGAGGTAAACAAATCTCATGATTACCTCGTGGCATCGATGATTGCGTGAGGTTTCAGGTTGAATGTGGAGTGTCCATCTGGCAAGGTGGAGCACGTGATGTCACCCGGTCAAGCTCTCAGAATCACCGAGCGGCGGCGAGTCGAAACCTGAAACTGGCAGCCCCGCAATTGGCAACTTGGCGGGCCTGCTCGGTTCGACACTGACAGCCGTCTGGCCGGGTGGAGTTCGATCCTTGCAAAAGAACTCAAAACAGAAGACGTCTACGGTCTGATCATCTGATGAGTCTCGGTTCGCGAATTGAGATCCAACTGTGGCTTCAAAGTTGTAGAAACAGCGAGGATTGAGAACAGCTCCGGTCTCCCTCGCTTGATCATTTCGACCTGAAGCACGATCCTTGTCTGGCTCCTGTCTGGCTGAGAAGGACTGGCCGCAGCTCCTACCTGCAACCCGTCGCTGTCCCCGCTAGACGGAGGTGCCAAGCTAAACATGGGGCATCCGAGCGCACACTCTGGTGAGAGACCTCAGCATTGCAAGAAAATCTATCCCCTGCTTTGCTGGCACCACAAATTGTTGATTGGTCCAGGCGTCACATTCAAAATACATTTGCCTCCTTTCAACTTGAAGGGCCCCCGAACCCTGCACCATATCAGAAGGGATTTGTCAATTCGGCATCATTGAGTTGGTTAGCACTAGATTGATTTTCTTCCAATGCTAAGAAGTGTCGCACTCTTCGGTGCCAGGTTGGTGATCACCAATTTGTTGGTTCCAGTTTGGCGTCTCTTAGTTGTAAATGTGATGGGGCAAAAGTGAGCTGCCAAAGGGACGCGTCAGGGGTAAAGGCTAGGCACAGCTTCAGTTGCTTAGAATATCCCTCACTTCCATCAAGTGATTTCACCCTGCATTTTGGGGCGCACGAATCCTCCTGAAGGAAAACCCTGCTTGTGTACTGTGCAGCCCAGTGACGCTGAGGTCAGCACAGAAGGGGTGTTGACATCACATTGTCACCTTTGTTCCAACGTGAGATGGCGTCTGGAAAGCGCCGAGGTGACCCCGTGAAGGTGGTGCCCGCTTTGCCTTATGCTGGCGGGGGCCCTGACCTGCTGGCCCAAGAGAGGCCCAGGCCGGCAAGAAAGCAGAGGGGGAGGGCCAGGCGCCCCCCGCCCCTACTCACCTGGCTGCAGCCAGAAGGGGTTGGGGAGCCCGGGGTGGGGCCCTGCCGGAAACAGCCCGCAATTGAGGTCCAGAGGGAGGTCGAGCAGTGCGTGCAGATGGTGACCTCGGTGTGGGGTGGCACACCCAGGAGGGGGGGCGAGGCTGGGGGCGCGGGAGCACGCGGGCTGCGCAGCCAACGCAGGAGGGTGGCACCGCAGGCAGCCCCCTCGTGCAGTGATAGCGAGAGGGGGGGGTCCAGGGACGAACAGGACTCCGGGTCGGCGGTGCTGCAGGCGCGCTCGAGCAGCGCCACAGGGTCGGACGGAGGGGGGGCGCAGGAGGCCCTCTCCAGCAGCACGGTGGGGTCTACCAGCACGGACTCTCGCGCATTACTCAGCAGAGGGGCGCATGCAAGCGAGGCATCTGGGGCGCGGGGCCCGCAGGACGAGAGAGGATCCGTGGCGGCCGGGCCCCTTTCCCCTGGCACCATCTATGCGCATCAGCTGACACTGGTGAAGCAGGCCATCCAGGAGGGGCCGGCACGGCCCCCCGGCAGCGGCCCCCCCTCGCTGGAAGGGTACATCGCGGCCAAGCTGGACGCAATGTGCAGGGAGCTCCCGCAGGAGGAGGCGAAGCAGCCAGCCATGGCAGCAGGCGAGGAGGAGGCCGCAGCAAGCCCCAGGTTCAAAATTGAGGAAGGGTGCCTGGAGGGCGGGACTGGTGGGGGATCCCTGGGGTCGCCGCCGCCATGTGGGGACCACTCCCAGGAGCTGCTGGAGCGCATTGTGGCGGAGGTGCGCAAGGTGGTGCGAGGGGCCGCGCCGCTGAAAGGCTCCATCCTCGAGCAGGTAGGGCGGGGATCATGAGGGGGGCCGGGAAGACACCTAGATCTGCATGCTTGTTGCTGCGCTGCCATGTGTAGGAGAACAAGTGGCGCCTTCCGGTTCTTCCGCACTTTTGGGAAGGCACGAACCAGAGCCTGCAGTTACCCGTCCTTCTTTTTGCCAGAGCTTCAAACGCTGTGGAGTGGGTAGAAGCTGTCACTTGTGAGCTGCATCTTGTGAGTTGCATCAGCAGGGTTTCCTGATTGGGTGGTTAGCAGAGTTGTTTCTTGACTTTCTTGCTGTGGTTTGCTTGTTGTGGGCTACTAAAACCCTTCAGGCGGTTCAAAACCTGGGCAGGGTCAGATGGCATGCTGGTTAATGATGGGTGTATGGGCTTCTGCCGGAGCCCTCTGGTTCACCTGTTCCACCGGGGACAGCACCTGCCCTCGCCTCTTGCAGCATTCCCGCTGCGCGCTGTGCTTGCTTGGCCAGAGCCCTGCCTAAATGCTCGTTGCTGCCTGCCGCCCCCCCACAGATTGCTGAAGCCGCCTACAGCAACAAGGGCGTTGCTGTGAGCCCGTGCGAGGCATGCGGCGTGGCAGCCTCGGCGGACATGGCGCACATCCTGTCGGTCAGCCTGGGCCACACCCTCGAGGGCTCCGAGCTGCGCATTGGCCACGCGGCCGTGGCGCTCCTCAACGCCCGCCTCAACGGCGCCTCCGGGGGCCTGGCCAGCTTTGGCCTGCAGGCGGGGCCCGAGGGTGGCCCCTCCACCCTGCTCATGCTGCTGGCGTCCGACGCGCTGCCCGCGCTGGACCTGCCCTCCTCCAGCGACTGCTCCTGGCCCGCCGGCGTGTCCCGCAACGGCAGCCCCGCCAGCTTCCTGGGCGCCTTCGAGCACACCTCGCTGGCCGTGCCCTCCGCCAGCGACAGCCGCCCCCTCTTCCCCGCTCCAGCTCCCAGGTTTACTGGCGACGCCGAGCAGCACAGCCTCCTGCCCCCCCTCCCTACATTCACTTCCACCATGACCTCAGAGCAAGCGGGCCGGGTGTCCCCGTCTGAAGGGGCCTCAGGGCTGCCCTTTGCGACACCCCCTGCCTGGCACCACGACCTTCCCAAGGGGACGGGGGCTTTCTATGGCTGTGACTCCACGCTTCACCTGCTTGACGCAATCAAGGACTCCTCTGCCTGGGAAGCTGCCATCCCTCACGCGCCGGGCTCCTCGCCCCTGCTGCACGATGACCCGGCGTACCACTCCCTCCCCGCGTCCCTCCCCGGCCTCACCGCGTACCCGATGCCCCACGGTGGCATGTCCGTGCTACTGACCAGCAAGGCGCGCGCGGGGGAGGCCGCGCTGGTGGCAGGGCAGTTGCCCGGAGAGGCGCCGAAGGGGGCTGCGGACAGCGAGGCTGTGCCCAAGGAGAGCGGCAAGCGGGGGCCGGGCCTGATGGAGGACCTCTTTGGCGGAGAGGGCCCCGCCCCGGAGCGCCAGCTGTCCGCGGACGAGCTGGCCATCCAGAGCTACCTCGCGGACGACCACACCGAGCTGTGTACTGCCGCCGCAGGTCAGGGCGCCGCACTCTGGGAGAGAGCAGCACTCCTGGAGGGTGCTCCACAGCGCGCTCGGTGTTGTTCGCAGGAGTCTGTGGTGGGCCGCTTTCCTGGTGTCAAATGCTGGACCTTTGCCATCATGCTCGTCATGCTCACCCTCTGGCACAGCATGGGTTGCACTAGGACGTACGCCCCTGTGCCCCTGATTCCTTGCTACGATGCATGCAGACGCGTTCCCGGTGGGCCTGGCTGCCGTGGACGACGAGCTGGACCTGGAGGACCCGCTGGCGGCGCCCCACGGTCAGGACTGGGACGGCTTCCTGGGGGGGGACCTCACGGCGCCGTGCCTCACATCAGGTACTGCATACCCCGCATTTCGAATCACTGCATTGCAAGCTGAATGTCACAATGCTGGTTTGGCTCAGCTTCAATGGCCCTGCTTGCCGCGTCCAGTATGAGAGGCTGCTTCCGGGGACGAGTGTCTCCCACGGCCGCGGGCTGGGCATGTCTCCCAGCTACAGCGAGAAACATCAAAAACAGGTCAATATATAGGCTTTGGGCGCCAAGTAGCCATAAATGGCCTAACGCATCGAGAGTGTTGCCGCTGGCCCTCCTTGTCTGGTAGCTCATTCTCGCTTCCGCCTTGCTGCTCCGCAGGCTGGTCCCAGGCCCCCGAGGCAGGCAGCGCCCACAATTGCCCCATGCACGAGATGTCCTGGAATGGTCAAGCTGCTGCCAGCGTCGATGCCCTTGCCCAGAGTGCGAGTACAGGTCGGGAGAGTGCGGGCGGGGCTGCTTGCCTGGAGGTGGGGGAGGGGAAGGTAGAGGCTGCGCAGGGGGACCGTAAGAGTGGGCAGCCTGAGGATGGGGCGGAGCATGGCCCTGCTTCTCACAGAGGAGAAGCAGAGGCACAGGGGCTCGCTGCAAGGGATCAGAGTGTGCTGGCATGTGAAAGCAGCCCCCTGGTGGGGGAGCCGGTCCCGTGTCCCATGGAAGGGCATCCAGGGGGCCCACAACAGAGTCAGAAGGTGCGATCCCTCACCGAGCTGTACCAAGTGGACGGGCACGCTTCTCTGTGCCAGGGAGGGGCAGAAGAAGGGCGCAAGCGCAGCAAGCGCTGTGCGGGGGGCGTGGCAAGGAGACAGAGAGGGGGTGCCACATGCACACAGAGGGGCAGCGAGGAGGCCAATGCAATTCACCACCACAGCGAGGTCATCGATCTGCGGAATGCCTGAGGTGTTGGAGTGGGTATGGCGGCTTAACAGGTCCAGCTGGTTGGACCTTGCCGTCGAAGTGCATTAGCTTTGCATATAGGTCGTCGCAACCAGTCAGTAGTGTAGGCAGTTGTGGGTCTAGTCACCGGTAAGCTGATCGGTTGGCAACCGTGTTGTTAGAGGAGCCGGGAGTGGCCATGGAGGATGAGCACCCTGCCATCAGGTGTAGCTTGAGAATGAAGCTGGCTCATCTTATACCACCAGGCTACAAAAGGCTTATTTATGTTTATCTGGTTACGATGTTGCAAGACGTCGACTTATTTGGCTTGTTTTCGGGAGCAGCTTTGGCATTCGTGTAGCGGTAGTGTGCCAATGTAGAATCATCAAAGTCCAATAGTTAGAAGTGGTATGCAACTTTGCTCCTGACTTGGGACTGTAGAGGTTGTGGGGACTTGAGCCTCATTGGGTTGAGCAGCGAGTGCAACTTAAGATGACTTACCACAAGCTGGAGGGTGCCAGGTGACCGTCTGTGTCTTTGTATCATCATCCGCACATTACATACAATCATATGTATGTTCATGACTCACGAGAAGCCTTCTCATGGCCGGCCGCATTGGCTGCGAGGTCATGAACACGAGATGATCGAATAAGACATAAAGCAAGTGTTCAAAAGCTGTCTTCAAATACAGTATGCTTCTTAGCATGTGACCATATACATGATGATCTTGTCGATCACCATCTCTTTATCCAGAGCTAGATTTCTGTTGAAGGCCATGGTAGACGGAACAGGCAATTGTGTCTGAATTGTTCTTCAGGTACATGGAACATCATTCTTGCTATCTTGGACAGCAAGTGGTGCATGCTAGAATCTGCTTCCAACCGGCTCGCGATCTGCCATTTGTATTATTGATGTTGTATTGGTGGAGAGGAGCATACACATGTTGATGGTTTAACGCGGGATCGATCTTCAGGATCCGCTTTTGCCACATGGCCCATTCGATGGATGTGTGCGTCACAAGGCTTCTCAAGGCACATGTGCATACATAAGTGTGTTCCTTGACGGCCATGGCACATGCAAAGAGAAACACGTCCAACATTGCGTAACAAACGACTGGAATGCATTTAGCTGAGGTTAAGTTGCTAAATGATATGCAAGAAGCGGCACAAGATTGCAATGCGGCGCTTCACCAGAGGGTGATTTTCAGCTTACCCCATGCGCAAAGGCCATTCTAGGTCAGACTCTTTCCACACATGCTTCCACAACATGACGCCTTCACAAAAATGTACCAGAAATCAACATATGAATTGAGCATGATGTAATCACCGACCTGAGACAATTGTACTTGCAAATTGACGCAGAGTCTATTCACATCCCTCTTTTGTAAGATGCTCTTGAGCTTCAACCAAGGCGTGAGTATACAGAACTTGAGCGTATTTAAGCAACTTTTTCAAGTTGTGCCAAGAGTCAGCACTTCAATCAAATGATATTGTTGTTCAACATGTACAGCGCGGTTTAACACCTCAGACTTCCCATGAGTCCTGTCCATGATAAAGATGCGCTTTGCGTCGCAATGAAGCAGATTGTTCCCTGATCAGACAAGACACCAAAGAAGCTTGCTAACCTCGCGACTGCCCAGCACGGGAAGACAGGATGATACCCACGATCAGTCCGTAAAGGGCAAGAGCTTCAGCGAAAATGAGGATCAGAATCATTCCAACAAACAGCTTCGGCTGCTGTGCATTCGCCCTGCACAAGCAGACAGTACAATATGAATTGGCAATACGAGAACGACAAGCCTTTCGCCTCAAATGTGAGTAAGCAGCAGCCGATGCAAGTCAACAAGAGCAGCAAGCTGACGCTACTAAGCAAGATTGGAAAGAACAGCATAACCAGGACTAGGAGCTCAAACACAAATGAAAGTAACTTGTGACACCATTATGAACCCTCCTTAGCCATACGCTTAAATCTCAGAATGCTGCAGCTTCACACTGCTGCATTCTCTTCGGCTAGCTAATTGTCTTACCTGACACCTGCGTCACCAACTATTCCAATTGCCATCCCAGCAGACAGGCCAGCCAGACCACAAGCCAGGCCAGATGCAAGATGAGCGTAGCCGTCGAAGAGGTAGTACGGCTTTGCCTTGGGGTTGACTGTTAGAGGGTAATTCAAGGAGGATAACAGGAATGCTGTTTCAGCAACTGCATAGATCATCAACAACTGAACCGCGAGTCTGCTAGCAGCCTTCTGGAGGTTTGACATGTGCAGGATATGAATCAGAAGCAAACAAGGGCATTGGCGAGGATACTGCCGGTGGAGATGATGACGGCGATGATGAGGCCGTAGATTCCCAGGACTCCCGCCATAACCACGGGGACAATGGACTTCATCACCAGCTCAGGCCGCATGACGCCCATGGACGCAACACCCACGCCGCTCTTGGCAGTGCCATACGCAGCGCCAGCACCTGCGCGGAGCAGCAAGCATCAGTGGCTGGGGCTCTGAGTAGCAGGAGACAGCGTTAAGACAGCTGATCACCAAAGAAGGCAACACCCTAATGGAAGTCCCTGTTTCGTGTACTGTGCAGCATAGAACCCTACATCTTGGCCTCATGCCCGGGCAAGTGGCTCGGAAGCAAACGGAAAAGCAGAACTTGTGCTGCGAAAACATGCTCAGGGTTGGACGAAGTCAAATACATTCGTCTGGATCTCAGATGCAAAAAGGATCTGTATGCTATCTGCTTTCAATTTGTGAAATTGACGGGAGGTTGCTAAAGATTGTGATCGCTTTTCATCAACAATGTCAGATTGTGCAACCGCTGTGTGCGTACACCTGTACCTGCTTGAGCAGACCTCGCCCAGTCTATGAACATCAGACATTGACATTCCTGCTTTGAAAAGCCTTTTCAAAATGGAAGACAATCTTCTGGTTAACATTGAAGCTAACTCAATCAGAATCTCAAAACTTGCAAGCAAAGCTCCTGCTTTGGTCGATACAGGCAAACCCTGAGCTGTTCCTTTGATGGAATCCAAGAGACAGTGTTTGTACATGGCAAGGACAAAATCGCATGTACTCCAGAGCAAGAGACTATGCCAGATGAAGGAAAGATGTGCAAAGCTGCCAATCAATTCTGGTCGCAAAAACAACCCAAGCTGGAACATTAGAAAATAACCTCTTGAGCAGATGTCCATCTGAGCTGACTGTGCAATCCGGTACGTCAGATAAGATTTGCCAATCAAATCGCGAATAGCACAGTGCTCTTGACTCCTGATCTTTCAATTGAGTAAATTCGCTGACCAGATGATACAATCAACTAAGATGCATCCTGCAGGAATCAATTGGCACATGAGATCCTCTATGTTGAATGTGCAGCATCTTACAGGCGAAGATGAGGGCAGAAGCTGCTCCCAGGAACCCAAAGAAAGGAGCCACCTCATCCCCGTTGAACGCCTCTGCTCCGAGTGGATTGAACGACATCCTGAATGGCTGAGAGCACCTCTTCTACTGCACGTCGGGAAAGGGGAGCTTCGCGTTGCAGGTAATAGCTCAACTGCTCCTTTTTCAAGTTTTTGATTGCTGAGCACAACGTAGACGTTTTCAGCCTCGATCAGGCCGAAGGCCCCAAGAGTAGAGAGCCTAGACTCCGACTCAGAGCCTGAGGCTTAGTAATGGTAGAGCTCACGAAACTTGACAATGGACAACTAGGCGTGGCGCCAGAATACGTCTTTATTGAAGGGTTTCAAACTGTTAAGTTCAACCTTGGTGTGTATAAGATGTTACATGTACAAGCAAGAACCAATGAGCAGCACCGAGAGAGAGCTAAAAAGATGAGGTGGCAGGCGAGGAGCCCTCCGGACTACAGCACTTGAAATTAGAGCTGCAGTGCCGCATGGCATTCTTTACCGCGGTCCCGGTCTGGAAACCTATCCGATTCCTAGTTCTGAGATAGCTAGTACGGTAGTAGGAGGCGGAAGCAGCTAGCGCGGGCAGCATTCAATGATTCAGCAGCTGCATGCGCCCACAATGGGGGACTGCGTGGATTCAGAAACCACCATCGGGCCGGCACCTTTTGTCGCAACGCCCTTCTCTCGTGGCTGCACGTTCGTTTTTCCACCCTTTGCTGCCCGCTTGTCCGCCCCATGTCGTGGAGCAACCTGGAGCAGGTGGTGTCGGCTATCCGGGCCTTTGTCCCGGCACTGGCCCCCACCAAGCACAAGGGCCAGGCAGGCAAGTGGCGGCGGTTGCTGCACTGCTTTGATTCCCCCTTGGATCATCACTGCAAAAGGCGCCGCGCCCTGTTCGCCTATGCTGCATGACTGGAGCTGGGATGTATCTGTAACCTTGAAAGGGCAATTCAGAGTTGCATTTGATTTTCTTGCGCGCAGCGGCTTCTGTGCATGCCTGCTTCGGCTGCATGCTGGGGCCAAGAGCCACCACCACCATTGTGTCCAGCTTATTGGCCCACCTGTGAGTGAAAACTCCAGCTGGGTCTCGTTTGGTTACTGCCACCATCTGATTTTGTCCATGTAGGACAGGAGGGTTGTTTCCATTAGCTAACAAACTGAGGAGGCAAGGTGCGCGTCCCGGCAGAAGTCCTGTCTGCTGCGCCCCGCCTGACCTGCCCTGCTGTGCCCTGCCTGCTTGCGCTGTTGCAGGCAAGGTTGCGGTGCTGGGAGGCTGCCGGGAGTACACGGGCGCGCCCTTCTTTGCGGCCATCTCCGCCCTCAAGATTGGCGCGGATCTGTCCCACGTCTTTTGTGCCAAGGGCGCCGGCACTGTCATCAAGAGCTACAGCCCCGAGCTGATTGTGCACCCGGTGCTCGAGGAGTCGTACGAACATGAGTGAGGCCCAGCCACAAGCCGCACAGCCAAGCGGGCTGCATGGCAAGCAGCTCTGCTGGGTGATTCCCCTGGGGCTGGCTCGTGTCCAAGACTGATTGCTATTCCTGCTGCCAGAATGATGGAAAATCCGCGAAGGTTCTCAAAACCATTCACTTCCAGTAGGGGGCGTTTGCCTTGCCTGTTTTAGCCCGTGATCAGCGCAGGGTGTCTTTCAGCTGCCGCCGCGCTCACTTTTTAGTAAATCCCCCCCCTCTTCCGTTCCTGCCCCCCAGGTCAGCCAGTGCGCAGGAGCGCGAGCAGGTGGCAGAGAAGGCGTTCAGCGCCATCCGCGAGTGGCTGCCGCGATTTGACTGCCTCGTGGTGGGCCCCGGGTTGGGCCGTGACGACCTGCTGCTGCGCACTGTGGCCAAGGTCATCCGCGAGGCACGCAGCGCAGAGCTGCCGCTGGTCCTGGATGGGGTGAGCACCCCCGGTCGCCGGGGGGCCGAGGCACAGAGGCATACCTGCCGATGTCAAACAACCGCGTTTGTTGTCTTCTTTGCTCCTCTCAGAAAGCCGCTCATCACTGGCGTTGCTTCTGTGCCTCAGCCTTGCCTTCCGGTGCGACTGGACGTCTAACGAAAGTGCACTTTCAACGTCGTTCAGGGGCCCTCATTGTTTGGTCTATAGTTGTGAAACCGACGAAGCGGACGCAAGTACGTGCTTGAGTCCTGACAGCGTGGCTTCCTTCTGCTGCGAGGCCAAGCTCCCCGTGAGCACTATCGGCCTTGCCTGATGGGTGGCCCACCTGCGTGTCGCGGTGTGCAGGACGGGCTGTGGCTGGCGACGCAGGAGCCGGCGCTGATCCAGGGCTACCGGCTGGCCATCCTGACGCCCAACCCCAACGAGCACCGCCGCCTGGTGGACAAGGTGTTTGGGCCGGACTACAAGCACCAGCAGACCGACACCGGCCAGCAGCTCAGGGACCTTGCCGCAAGGTGAGGCCGCCCCGGGAATGGGAATCTGAGGGGAGAACGGTGTCGAGGACAAACGGGGACACAGACGGGCTCTCCTAAAAAGCGCCTTGCCAAAACTTGGTGCTTTACCTCGGGAGGATTCTTCGCGCCTCACGCCTCTGCCTGCATCAGCACTTTGCCAGGCAAGGAGTGCCCTTTTGGCGACGTCCTGTGATGATGTGGTTCTGGTTGTGCTGACTGGTGCGGCATTTGCAGGTTGGGCCATGTGACGGTGGTCCAGAAGGGCCCCGCCGACCAGGTCAGCGACGGGGACACGGTGCAGGCGTTCGGCGAGTTTGGGTCGCCGCGCAGGGTGGGCGGCCAGGGGGACATCATGGCCGGCAGGTGAGGCAGCGCCAAGGGCCGCAGGGCGCAGCAGCACTGACAGTGAACGCATTTGGGGGGGGTCGCTAAGAGTCAGGCGTGCACTGCTTGCTCGTCCAGTCAGGTCAGCTCAGCTTGCAGCGGGTTGGTGCCGGCGACCTGCGCAGAGATGGATTGTCGGCTTGCTTCTGCCGCTGACTCGTGCTGCTTTGGCGTGCGCATGCAGCATCGCCATCTTCATGGCGTGGGCGCGCCAGTTCGTGCAGCAGACGGAGCAAGGAACGGACGCGTTCCAATTCTTCTCGCGAACGTGAGCCTGTACAGCGGCGCCGGCCCTGTCTCTTGTCTCCAGCTACGGAGGGTGCAAGCGCTCCTGGCTCTGCCCCCCACTCCTGGCCTCGCTCCTTGTCCCCTTGCACCACCCCAGCCAGGTGTTCCACCGCTTGAAGGCAGGGCCACGCACGTCCCAGGGCCCGTACACTTGCCGTTGCTGTTGTCTCACGGGCGCCTTGCTGTGGTGCAGGTTCTCGTCCAACCCGGGCATCGCGGCAGGTATTGCAGGGTCCCTCATCACGAGGTACGCTGCGCGGGAGGCCTTTGGGAAGCACAAGCGGAGCACCACCACCACCGAGATCATTGCCGAGCTGGGCTCAAGGTGAGGAACAAAGATGGATGATAAGTATTTTGCAGCGTTGATTATTAGCTACTTCGAGTGGTTGCTGTGGGTCCCCTCGTCTTTAATCGGCTGTGGGTCACATCCTGACAAACCAGGCGAATTGTGAGAAGTCCACGGTCGTTCTTGAGAATGAAAGCAAGATGTCTTGTTTTGCAGTGTCGAAGCTCTGTTTCCCGCCGGTCCTTCAACATAGAAACGTCAAGGTTTCGAGAATGTGACTACGTGCAAGATGAGCATTCCCGTGAAAGAACAGAAGATCGATCTGGACCGTACACATAGACGAAGAATCGTCAGTTAGGTTCAGTCTAGTCAGATTTACTACGTATTTTTGAGTCTCTTTCAAAGTCAAATGGCTTCCCACGAATCTCGGGTGGATAAGTCACCAAAATATGTCAGGACATTGTCGAACATTGTTTGAGTCCAACAAGTGTATCATTGAATCATTTAAGGTCAGATAATCACTCTAATGGGACAGTGTCTTCAAAAGTTTCATGCAAGAATAACCAATGGAAACCCTCGATCTCTTGGTGGCAATTCAAAACGGGTTGGGAGTCCAAGTTCTGTTGCACATGAACAAGTTGTCGAAGTTGTCAACCGTTCATCATCTCTTTCTCAACACCTCTTTTGGCACATCTTTTGGTAGATCTAGCTTTGCTCAGTGATTTGTATTGGCAGGCTAGCTAGCTTGTGACCTTAAAATTTGTGTGATTGTAAGTGTTTTGCCAATCGAAGCAAATGCAACCATGCAACCAAGAGTTTCCTGGCTAATAGGGGTGTACCCATGTTAGTATCGCGAGTAATTCTACCACTTTCGAGGTTTTTGCATACTAATGTGCTTCCAAATCCTTCGCACTATACTCGTCAAAGTTTTGCGGGTAAGGGTCTTACGTGTGTAAGCTTCATCCAGGAACTATTTGAAAGTATTCGGTCCGAGTTTTGACAATATGCGGCTTGCTTGGAATGTACATCGCCAAGCCTCACCCGTTATACATTGTACCCTACCAAAACATCAAGCATTCTCTCTTTCTGCACACAGCAAAACTTTGGCTAAGGCAAAAAATGCCTATACAAAAACAATTGCCGATAGTTTATGTGGCGAACTGTCGTGGGACTCGTGCCCATTCAACTAGATATCTAATTCGCACACTTTGAGTTCGAAACGTCTAAATAAGAGTCAGACCGCTTTATTGATGCAGTTAGCCTGCGTAGTCCTTGATTATCTAAGTAAACTAAACAAACACCACTCACTAACTGTGTTTTCTGCGGGCAATGTTGATTCATCAAACTATGCATAATTATTACATGGCATGATCTTCATATTTTGTTTTGAAAAATTCGAAAGTATAGGTCACTTCACGTCGTCACATGCACGAACTACGGGTAACGACACCCTTCATACGCTATCATGAGCCATGCCATATGTAGAAAGTCCCTAAAAGTTTCTGCGAGAATCGCATTCTTCCTCAATTTGTGTCATGCATGCATCTGTAGAAGCCTTTCTAAGACCACATTAGATGTGGGATCCACACCGTCAAAGTAGCCATCATCGTGTTCCTCCTTTGCTTCTTTCAAACTTAGGGCAAAAAGTATGGAAAGACCGTTTGATCTTCAACAAAGCGCTGCGATCAGCTGCATGCCTAGAGCGTCCTCACTCAGCATTCTGTTTGCTGCATTAAGCGCGGCCGCGCGCCGATGCCAACCGTCAACATTTTGCGGCCGGGGTTGGCGGCCAGGTTTGCCTGCATTCAGTCAGTAATATGCCTTGCAACTGCCCAATGCCCAATCTGCTGAAGCATGCAGGTATGAAAGTCCCCGTGCACTTCTGCCATCCCGCCATTATCACGAATTCAGGAAAATTTTCACCCGGCAGCTGGAGTCCAAGTCGCGGCCGGCCGCGTGCGGCTTAAGCATGAAGACTCGCTAGCTTAGAGAATCCATGACTTAGAGATTGTAAGATTAGCAACCATGTCTCAATTTGAAGCGTGCGTCTGAGGCGCTTAAGACAGGCTGCTGCATTATGTTATCATGTGCTGGCTCGTGTCTTGGTGTTAGCTTCCGCACCTAAGTGTCTTCTGCGGCAGGACGGCATCTTGCCCTCAACCATGAATGAAATTGAGCGCTACATCTTGCCTTTTCAAATGTGACCCTTCACCCATTAACTATACGGTTTTACAAGTAGATAAGGCCTTTCACAAGACCCAATTGTGCAGTAGCTGCGACGTCTATGCATGACAACTACCCTTCTGCTACATGGCTAATGGATTTTTTGTCACTTTCTGACTCGGCTTTATTATGCTAGCATCTTACTTACAGCGGACATCGATGAAGTTTTTAGAATCATATGGAGCTCCTTCACTCCGGTATCCTCTTCGACCGTCTGGGCCTATATCAAGGCAGCGGAAGCCTTTTGAATGAGCTGGAAGGATGGGTGGGTCACGTGGAAGCCCACCATTGTGTCTACCGAACTACCTTATATTGGACTTGACCATCCCTTTGGCGCATGTCTAGATTAAACGCCAAAGCGTTTGACACTCTTAACCTGACCCTCTTTTCTACTGGCACTTTGATTTCGGCCTTTTCTTTACACTTGCTTGACGATCTTTAGATTAACTGCCATGCCGTGAGGAGCCCGTGCCATAACACGTTGGGCGCATGCGGCCGCGGTCCGGTAGCGTAAGGCGGGCGGCTGACAGGTGTCATCCACGCGGGGGTTTCGAGGTTTCCGAGGCTCCGGTGGCCTGTCGGGTTCGCACGAGGGAGGTCCCCCGACATAGGACGATAGCCAGTGACTAGGCTAGGTCACACGAGGGTGGCCACATGCTAGGGTTGACAATAGTTGACTTCCGACCGGTAGCCAGACCTCCGGTCGAGTGTAGATCTGTAGCCGGGTGGTTTCACCTCCGGCCAAGTGGTAGTGCTAGTATACTACTTGCTTCCAGAGTAGTGTGACTCACTTCTCAAGTTGCAAGTTCTCCTCGAGCTTCCTTGTAAGGACAACATGGCGCCCGAGCATATGAGAAGGATCTGAGCATTCAGCAGCCGTGGTGCATTGGTGTGGAGCTTCGTCTCCGGTGATGTGAGTATGACGGGCTGAGCATGGGTGCCTACATTCTTGGTGTGCGAGTTATTGGGAGGCCGGAGCAATGTGTGAGAATTCATAGCATGATGTGGGTTGCACGTGCTATTATGTTGTATCTATCCATGACTATCCCTTGAGCAAGCACCATTCTGTTGCGCCATGACGTGGCATTTAAGTGAGTGGGTAATCGCGGGTCTAGCCGGGATACGCCTAAGTTGTTCTGCATGGCTAGATGCGGGAAGATATAACTGGAGCGAGCGCCGGTGATCGGCGTGACTAGCGTCTCTGAGCTCAGAGTTCTATGCGTTCCGCCGGACCCGATGAGGACCGGCAATAGCCGAGTAGCGCACGGCATAACTCGACAAAATTCAATCGTGACTGATTTTGTAGGATATTCGGACAGCCCTTTGCTCCATGCCCTCTGTTTCGACATGCATAGCATCATCAATAACCCATCCACCTTTCGGTTCTCTTGGACACTCTTGCTAACAATATCAACAACATTCCTTATATCGTCCTGAAGAACTTTGATATGAGTTTCCTCAGAT